TCCTCAGTGAATTAGTCTCTCCTCCACTATGTGTCTGTTATTTCTGAGTTCTCTTTCTCTCTCCTCTTTCTCCCTTTCTCCCCTTCCCTCTTTGTCTCTGTGTCTTTGTGTCTCTGCCCTGTCTTTGTCTCTTTCTATCTCTTTCTCTCTTTGTCAACCTGTTTCCCCTTTGGCCTCTCTCCCTGCTGTTGCCTCTGGGTCTCTTACTGCCTATCTCTGGGCCCCTCTCTCCCCATTGTCTGCTCTGTCTGCCTGGTCCAGGAGCTCTTTCCCTCCTCCGTACCCTGCTGCATCTCTCTGTTTTTCTCCCTACCTCTCTCTGTGTGTCTCCTCTCTCCCCCTCCTTTGTCTCTGTGGCTCTGCTTGCCCCACCCCCGCAACCCTCCTCTCCTTCCTCCTCTTCTCATCCACACGGCCTCAGCAGATGAAATGGAACTCAGCAGATGAAATGGAACGTGTCTTCCTGCAGAGAGCTGGCCTGAGCACAGCTGTCAGTGCTGGAAGGAGCTGCTGAGCCGTGGCCAGAAGACCCGGGGAGCCTGGGCAAGCCCTGCAGGCTGAGCCCCCAAATCGTGGGGCCCCTTTGGAGACTTCCCACCACTTTCCCTGCAGGTTCCAGGATGGGTGTGGCGCCTGTTTCAGGATTTCTGACCTTGGAAGCAGGCCCAGGCCCTGTCTGCCAGCCCCTGGGGATAGCATGTGCTGAGCCCTGACTCAGGGGCTGGTCCAAGGGCCAAGCTTCCAGGATTGGTGGGATCTGGAGGCGCATCACCATGGAGCAGGCTGAGCTACGAAAAGGGGAGGTCCGTGAGCTCAGGTCTCCTGGGGATAGGATGAGATCATGGAAAGGAGATGGAGTAACAGGTCTTGTCACTCACGCATTCAACAAACATTCACGAAGCCACTGCTGCATGCCAGACTTGGGCTTAGTTCTGGGGACAGAGATGAATCAGGCATGGCCCCTGCCCTGGAAGAGCTCACAGTCTCCGCTCAGGTGGCTGGTTGGGAGCACGTTCTGACAGTCTGTGGGAAGCTCGTCTTAGCTGCAGGGAGGAGGTGAGCTAGAGAGAGCAGGAGACGCCTTCTGCAGTGATTCCGGCAGAAGGTGATAGTGACCTGGACCCGAGTCAAGTCTATTGCGGAGGTAACATCACAGGACTCTGGGGACTGCTGGTGTGAGGATGGGGAGGGAGAAGAGTGAAGACAAAGCCTATGTGGCTTGGGGAGCAGAGCTCGGTTGAGACACAAGCCAGCCGTGGAGAGAAGGGGGAGTTGGATTGTAAAGGGTCTCAGGACGTTTAGGTGTCCATGTCCAGTAGGCTGCTGGACAAGCAGGTCTGGGCTAAGCTGGCAATTCCAGAGGAGTCAGTCTTGTGTGGCCGTGGAAACCATCATAGTGGATGACGGCGAGAAGAGTGAAAAGAAACAAGGGCTGAGGGCAGGGTTCCCAGGGTCTCCCACAATGACTGGGCAGGAGAAGGAGGAGCCTAGTAGAAGGACAGACGGAGGCAGTGAGAGGAACATGGCAAGAACCAGGACAGGTGGGGTCGTGGGCACCAGGGACATTGCCGGTGTCACCACCTCAGCTATGGGGAGCTGGGAACCAAGTCCCAGAGAGGACAGGTATGGGAACATGGGCTGGGGAGTGCACAATTGGCACCTCGAAGTTCTGGGGCTCAGACCCCATAGGAATGGCACCTCCTGTGGGCGTGGGTGGGAGGACCTGAAGGGAGGGAGAGAAGGTAGGCACAACTTAGAGGAGAGGATGGAAATCGAAAGGATTATTCTGATTGGTTTAGTTTTCTCAGAGTGCCTGGAGTCTTCTGTTTAGGGTCTTCAGGGGAGCACCGTGGTCTGGAATGGCTGAGACTGAGGGAATGGGTGGGCGGGCTGGCCAGACACGTGGTTGCAACGCAGTGCTTAAGATCGAACGGGCATTCTGGGAGCCCTGCCCATGCCAGGGCCATGCCAGGGCCTGCGCTCCTCTGTCTCCACTCAGTCCAGAAATGCTCCTTTGAAGTAGCCATGCAGTAGTCACAAATATTTGCTGCTGCTTCTGTACAGCCCGAGGTAGGGCTATTTTCCCTGGTGGCTCTTCAAATCTGCCGGGCATACGCAGGGACCACTGTTGGACCACGAGTCCTCGTCTTTGAACAGGTCTCCATAGAGGCAGAGAAGGAATTGCCTTTGCTGCCAGGAGTGGAGTCCAAGAGCTGCTGGCAGAGAGTTCTTACAAGCCGGAGGCCGCCACTCCCCATCCCCTTCCAGCCTGATCGTGCTTTGGGGCAAACAGGAGTGGGGGTAACTCTGGCCCAACCAGGGTCTGACTTTAGCCCATCACTCAGGACTGCAGTCTGGGTTCACACATGAAAAAAAAACTGAGGCTGGTGGCAGGGAAGCCACTTGCTCAGGGAGACAAGCCGAGGGGGAGACTGAGAGCCTGGGCAGCAGCCTGGGTCTTCTGCCCTCAGCAGCACTAGGTTGGGGCCAGAGCTCTGGAAGGGTCTGTCTATGCTTGTGCTATCCTGCCCTTAGCTTCCCAAACATGCTTCACTCACCTCCTGGCCTTTGCACATGCTATTCCTCCTGCCTGGAACACCCACTCCTATCTTTGTTAACTCTTATCCCACCCTGCAGCTAGCCCCCCATGTCCAGGAAGTCTGTCCTGACCCCAGACAGGTTTAGAGGCCCCCTGTGTGCCCTCACAACCTCCTGTGGGGAAAGTTCCCTCTGCCTCATGCTTAGTGCCCAGATCACAAGAGCCAGATTTTTTTGGTTTTTGTTTTTTGGGTTTTTTTCATTGGAGTCTCACTCTGTCGCCCAGGCTGGAGTGCAGTGGCATACTCACAGCCACCACAGCCTCGACCTTCTTAGCTTAGGCAATCCTTCTGCCTCAGCCTTCCAAGTAGCTGGAACTACAGACGCATGCCAACATGCCCAGCTAGTTTTTGTGATTTATTGTAGAGATGAGGTCTCACCAAGTTACCCAGGCTGGTCTCGAATCCCCGGGCAATCCCCTCGTCTTGGCCTCCCAAAGTGCTAGGATTACAGACTGAGCTACGGCACCTGGCCAAGAGCCAGATTCTTGAGACCATGGGTGCCTGGGACGGGATCCTGCCTGTTCACCACTGTCCAGCATGAACCGTGCACCCAGGCAGTGTTCGTTCAATGAATGAAAGGAATTCATGGAGAAAGGAAGAGAGGGAGGGGGATAATATCTTCCTAAGGGTCTCGAGTCAAAGGAAAACCTTCCGCATGGACTCTGAGAGCTCGAGGAGCCTGTAGGCATTATCCAGCCACATCCCTGCCCTTTACATGGCAAGAGCCTGGGGCATTAGAGGGTAAAGGATGTGCCCAAGTCTGAGTGAGCGTCTGAGTGAGCATGGTGTAGCCAAGACTAAAGCCCTCCAGCAACCCTGGTTCGGAGATCTTTCCTAGTGATCATCAGGTGGCACTTCAGGGACTATGGCAGACCAGAAAGAGGGAGATCTCTGGGCTGGGGACTTCAGGGGCACCATGAAACTAGCTCAGAGGTGTGCAAGACTGGCGGGACCACAGGGCTGCCAGTTCTGTCCCTCCGATCTGGCCACTGTGCAGTCCCAGCCCAGCCCCTTCTGCTAGGAGCATCTCTGTCCCAACAGCTCTTAGACCACCCCGGGGCTGTCAACATGCTGACCTCCAGCTTCTACCTGTCACCACCGTCCCAGGCAATCAGGGGAATAGTGCAGGGAGTTGCCCCAGGATCTGTGATGCATGGTGAGTGGAAAGGAGACTGCTGCCTGCAAGAGCAGGATTGCAGAGCAGGCTCCCAGCAGCAGCAGCAGTGGGGATGGCAGGAGTTCTGGGCAAGCACCCAGCCAACCCCACTCTGCCTACATTGAGGAGGTTGGGGAGACGGAGGCCCAGGTGGCAGAGGGGTGTCCGAAGGTGCTGACTTCCAACGGCTCCTGTGTCCGTCACGTTCACTTGACCTCCTGAAAATTCTTCCTCCCAGAGGAAAGGACTGACCTGTATTCTGGGACCTCAATCCTGCATCTCAACAAAGGAGGGTGATTTTCATTCTCATCTGGGGCTTTGGACTCAATGATCCATTTCTTTAGTCACAGACCTGGCCATAGAGCAACTGTAATCACTGTTTGCTGAGTGAATGGCCAGCCCCTGTCCTGACACACACCTCTGGAGGTCACCACTGGAGGATTCAGTTCTGTGTTTGTACCTCCTCGGGGCCACTGTCAGTGTCCACTGGTCCCTGCAATCAGTTGAGGTAATGGGAAGTTCTTCCCTGCTGGGCTCTTACACCTCAGCGAGTCCTCAGTGGCCATCTCAGGGCCCAGGCCGCAGTGTGTGCTCCATCAGTGTTGGATAGATGGATCTGTGAATGTTCTCATGCAGTGAGCACATGCTGAGCCTGTGCAGGGCAGTGGAGATGCGAGCTCTGCCCTGTGGGAGTCTGCTGAGGAGACCCACGAGATCACAGAACCCCACTCCCACCCTAAGGGCGGGAGAACTGAGTTGCGGACAGGATTTACAAAGATGAACCACAGACCCACTGGGGGCTTAAGGGCTTCCTGGACCTGAGCCTTGTGTGACTGCTGAAGGCTGCCCCGGCCTGGACAGTCAGAGGCTGGGGTCAGCTTAATAGTATGAGTCATAGTAATGCCCCAGGAAACACTTGAGAGCCCTTGCTGCATAACAGCCACTGATCTTTGTAATCCTTACAACAACCTCAAACGTTGTTATTACAAACCATTCCCATTTTACAGAGGAGGAAATTAAGACAGGGGGAGATATAACTAGTAAACAGCAGAGTCAGGATTTTGGACCCAGGCAAGGTGGCACCAGGATCACATCTCACCCACTATGCCATACCCCACCTCTCAGGGAGTCCGGGGCTCCGATTTGGTGTAGGTCACTGGTGTGGACACAAACCCATGGATGGCTGTCTCCAGGGGCTGGTGGCCTGGCATGGGGTTGAGCCCACTTTATCTCTTGTGTTTCAGGTCACTTTCTTGGGAATAACACAGTCATCGACATCTTGCGGCAGGCGGGGCTGGAGGTGGACCACACACCTGCAGGACAGGCCATCCACAGGTATCTGGGGAAGTGTTGGGACTGACCGTGCCTGACCATATGCCACATAGCTGGCTACTCCTGCATCCCTGCTCAAACCTGTGGGAGGGCTTTAAAGAAACCTCGGATGAGATAGGGCCTCATGGGGACGGGTCTACCAGGCAGCAAGAGTGAAATGCTGGCCTGGAAGCTGAAAGTCAGATAGAAGGCTGGGAAGCCATCTTGACTAGGGCAGGGCATGGATGGGAGCAGGAACAGCATTAGGAGTGGAGAGGCACTTGGAATTTAGGGACTAGCGAGTTGCATGAGGGTCAGGGGGACTCTGAGTGCCTGGAGGACTCAATGGTTGCCCCACCCCAAATCAAGATGGTGCCATGGGGGGATGAGCAGGGGCCTGGCCTCTTCCCTGTGTCATAGCCGCACCCTGTGGTGGCATGACTGCCACAGCCAAGCCTTGTCTTTATCTTCGTGGCCGCCTCTGGCCGTGCCCTTCACTCCTGACTTTCCTGTCAGGGCACACTCAATCTGCTCAAATGGCCACTAGCAACCACCCTTTATTCCTGCGGGGGCTTTCCCGTCCCCCACACCCCCAGTCTGGAGGCTGCCCAAAGGTAGGGAACAGCTCAGTCCTGCTATGGGTCCACAGCACCAGCGTCAGGCCGAGCACAGCAGAGGTGTCAGTGAGAGCCAGCCCCTTGGTCCTGGGCAGCCTGTAGGTCAGTGACAAGATCCTCACACTCCAGGATTCCATGCTGCCAGTGCTCCAGCTTTCCTGCAGGAACCTTCATAACCCGTTCACAAGCCCACAGGGGTAGCACAGTGTGATTTCAGCTCCTGTTTCTGGCATTATAAGACCCAGAGTTTTGAAAGGAGCTTAAATAATCATAGCCAATATTTATTTGCTCACTCTGTACCGGGCTGTAAACCCTTCTAACTCATTTAATCCACACAACAACCCCTCGAGGTAGGAACTTCAGTATCTCCGCCTGATCATTGAGCAACTTGAAGCCCAGAGAGGCAAAGTCACCCTCAGAAAGACACAAAGCTCCTGTAAGTGGCAGTGTGGCTCTATCTAGGGCCACCTGAGCTCCTAGCCATGCCCTGTACTGGCTCTGGGGGCGGAGTGGGGACGCAGACATGACTGAGACCTTGTTCTTCAGAGATGAGGCCTGGATCACCTAGAGGATATCTCCAGAGCATTGAGATGCAAGTCTCCTAGCTCCCCTGGCTCCATGACACTTCTGGAGAATTTTATAAACCCTTACACCAGGACTCCATCCGAGTCTCCCACTCTTCTCATCTTCTGAGTCAGAATGACAAGATTGCGCTTTCTGCCTGAACTGATTGAACCCAGCACAGACCAGTTGTATCAGGGGCCAGGACCAGTATGTGTTTGAGGGGTGGGGATTCCAAGGTAGCCTCAGGGACAAGTCATTCCTTAAGTTCCCCTCTTCTCTCCTCACCCCACCCTTCACCTCCACATCCAAGGACCTTCCCGTTGAAGCTCATTGTGTCTGTCCAGGCCAGGGCAAGGGAGGCCTGTGGGCTGGTTAGGCTGGCAGCCTCCTAGTCATCTCAGAGCCCCTACATCAGAGGAAGAAGTTCCCCCCCCCCCACCCTATCCCCGTGACTCCCCCCAGGCTCTGCTCCAAGGGTTCTTGGCCTTAGTCTCCTGCACAGGGGAGTGAGGGAGCCGGCAGGGTGGAGGGGGTGGGGATGCTGAGGAGGCTCCAACAATGAAAGCCATCATCAGCCACAGGTGCTTCCTGGATCTATCTTTTTGTCTGACTGTTTTGAATTATCTCCCCAGCAGCTGCGTGTCTCCAGGCAGCCTGCACCCTGGGAACCTGGGGTTGCCATGGGGCTGAGGGAGGAGAGGCTGAGCCGATGGCCTTCCCCTATTACAAGAGAGAGAAGCCCCTCACCCATTGTGCCATGTGACAGCCGACTGGGGAGGCCGGCTGCTTGCTGTCTTGGGTTCCGCCTTATCTTGCCTGCCGTTCGCTCAGACACAGTTCCTGAGACCCTTCCTAACCTTCTTCCAGGGGCAGATGTCCCCACAATGAATTCCCTTAGGGCCACGAAAGGAGAGAATAGAAGGGAAAAGAGCAGAGGATGTCCCCAGGCTAAGAGTTGTATGTGTGTGCCGCTAAATAGAACATGAATTCTGCAATACAACACAGGACACTTCAGTGCCTGCCTGACAGCCAGGTCCACATGCTGTTGGCCAGCGTCAAAGAGAGGCATGAGCCAGGCCCTGTGCTAGGGCCTCCTCTCATTCCTCCTCACAACAGCCCCAGGAAGTAGGTGGTATGGTCCCTCCCGGCCTACAGCCGACTGCAGCTCGAGGCAGTCAGGGACTTGCCCTCAGGCACACAGCCTGTCCATTGCAGAGTCGGGCTGTGGACCCACATCAGTCTATGTCCAGCTCGAGTTCTAACAACTTAACACTGTCCTGCCTCTGCTGAAATGTACACAGTCAATGTGAGTTAAGTGCACGAATGTGTGGTTGGATGAATACATGACACAAACTATGTTAATGATATTAGTTACTAAAATGTTTTGACTGTTTACTATTTGTCAGACACTCTTCTGTCTAAGTGCTTTGGCTGTGTTTACCTGCGTAATTCTCATAAGGTACGCTGTGAGATAACAGGCTGCAATAACCCCATTAACAGAGCGGGAGACTGCGGCCCATCGAGGTTAGGTCACTCTCCGGAAGTTCTCCAGCCAGAGTTGTTGAATGAATGAGACCCTGACCAGGCTCACATCTGCCCCCAGAGACCAGTCCAGGGCTCACTTTCTTACCTCCTCCTAGTCGAGGCTCAAATGTCACCTGCCAGTGACCACACCACCATCCTGAAGTGCCCTCCACCCCACCCTCTCATGTCTTTGCTCTATTTCTCCTCAGCAGGTAGCACCATCTGAGATCCTCTGTTTCACTCTGTCCTCCACTTTGGAATGTAAGGTCTCAGAGGGCAGGAGTGCTGTCTATTTCAGTCATACTGAGACCCATCCACCTCCTGGCAAGTCCCTGGGGCAGGGTGGGTGCTCAGTAAGTATCTGCTGGCTGAAAAATTGAAGGCATGAGTTAAGACTCTGTCCTTAGGACCAAACCCCCTGGCGATTTCTCCTGCCGTGACAACTCTGTCATGAATTCTGTTCCCTGCCGCACGTGGATGACATGCTCCAACACGTGTGCCCCATGTGTCATTGCTCCTTTCCAGCCCTGCCACCGGGAGCCCAGCACCCCCTCCTGAGGGAACCTCGACGAGCCCGGCCCCAGCAACCCCAGCTGCTGCTGTCCCTGCAGCCCCCTCAGCGACCCCCACCACCCCGCCAGAGGAGGAGGATCCAGCTCTGTCCCCGCACCTCCTGCTCCCCGACAGCCTGAGCCAGCTGGAGGAGTTCGGCCGGCAGAGGAAGTGGCATAAGAGACAGAGCACGCACCAGCGTCCGCGGCAGTTCAATGACCTCTGGGTCCGCATTGAGGATAGGTAAGCAGGGGAGGGTAGGTCTGCCCAGGAGCTGGGGCCTCCGCAGACAGGGGTAGCCTACTCCAGAACCCCCCAGTCCACACAGCTCTGCACACTATCACCAGGCCAGCCCTGCTGTAAGGGAGGCATGACAGATTGGCCCAGACAGCACGTTCACATCTGATTTTTCCAGTTTTATTCCCAGAACAAGAGCAAGTACACTTCTCTTGATTTTATTTATCTATTTGTTTATTTATTTATTTTTAGTCGAGGTATCACTCTCTTGCCCAGGCTGGAGTACAGTGGCATGATGGATCAAAGCTCACCACAGCCGCCACCTCCTGGGTTCAGGCGATCCTTCCATCTCAGCCTCCTGAATACCTGGGATTACAGGAACATGCCACCATGCTCAGCTCATTTTTAAAATTTTTTGTAGAGACAAAGTCTTGCTATGTTGCCTAGGCTGGACTCGAACTCCTGGGCTCAAGCAGTCCTCTCACCTCGGCTTCCCAAAGTGCTGGGATTATAGGTGTGAACCAACACGTCTAGCCAATTCTCTTCATTTTAAAGATGAAGAAATGGAAGCTTCATTCAGGTGCAGTGGACAGAAGTGTGTTTTGCACTTATCTTCCGTGGGACACACCTATGCAAAGCAGGCTCCATTTGTCCCATGAACTGGAGGCAAAATAGGAGAAAGTGGAACAGGTTAGCTACACCAGAAGGCTATAAGCTTCTTGTGCCAGGGAGGCCCGAGTGACTGACAGCCTGGTAGGGAGGCTGCCGAGAGCACCCTGCTCTGTGAAAGAAGTGGGACAGGGTAACAGCTGCCCTTGATGCTGTGGGCTCTGTCTCAGGAGCAGATAAGGATTTGTGATAAACCTTATTGAAAATGGGCGGGCACAAAAATCATCCTAATGTACTAAGACCCCTCAGTCCTCTTTCTATAAGCCTATAAGCCCCTCCCATCACCTGCACCACTCTACTGGACCTGTCACCAAAGCTCCTGCTGTAACCAAGATGCTGTAACATTTCAGTACAGAGCAGTCTCCCTAGATTCCACTTTTTGGAAGGAATTTCCATATTTGGTGAGCAGTGTCACCAGAGCACTATGGATATCCCAGGGAGGGACTGTCAGTGAAGGGGTAGAATCCGACCCACTGCAGTAGCCCAGCCCTGGACATGACATGACCAGTAGTGGGCTATGGGATGTCAGGATTTTTCTCAGCAAGGATCACCTGAACCCAGGAGGTCAAGGCTGCGGTGAGCCATAATCAATCATACCACTCTGGCCTGGGTGACAGAGTAAGACTTTGACTCAAAAGAAAAGAAAAGAAAAGGAAAAGAACTCCAGAATATAAGAATCGAGCCCATTGATCCTTTGGACATTGGTTTCAAAGTGCCTGACTTGGGTTCCTGAGAAATGTACTTCTGCAGAGCCCTTGCCTGCCCTGCCTGCCCGACGAGGAGGCATTGCTGTAGCTGAATTGGCTATGACACATTTGGGTCATGCGCCCAGCATGGGCTGCCCCCTTCTAACTGGGAGCGAGAGCATAGAGTTACCGAGAACCACTTCCTTCAGTGTGGGGAGGGCGTGCAGGCTGCCAAGGAGGCGCAGGCAAGTGAAGGAGCTGGCAGCCTGAGGTAAGAGTTCCAATTAGGCTGGTCATCAGAGCCCTGATCAACACGCCACGGTGACCAGGAGACCTGACCAGCAATGGGGCCAACCCATGGGGTGACAGGAGGCTGGGCTGTCAGCTCCAGCAGCGGGCTCCCAGCCCCTAACCATGTCTGAAAGGTAAATTTCTGCAAATGACTCCAAACAGCTTCCTTCTCACAACACGTAGCTCTGAAACACAGAGCCCAATTTTAGGAGAAGAAAACAGCTTTTCTTTGGCAAGAGGGGAGCTCCTTCTCCATCCCAAAAGGTAGATTGTGGTTGGCTAACTTTCTCCCATCTGGTTGGGCTGAAGAAGAAAGTTTCCACCGATGGGCAGCCTGTTTGTTGAAGATTTCTTGCTGCCTCTGGGAAGCAGGCCCTGAGCTCCCCAAGAGGCCCAGGTGCAGAGCATGGCCTTCATTGCTCCCGGGGGACCCACCCCACACTTCTATGGTCCCCACATTTCCAATTTTCTGAGAGGGAGCAGAGGGTGATAATTTTCTCAGGGGGTGACCAGGGCCCATTGGTGGCCCTTATAACACAGTCATGTCCCTAGAAGCTTTAGTTCTGTTCAAGAGTGTTCTCATTTTTCTCCTCCCAAACCCCATGAGAGCTGTCCCCTCCTCTCTGTCACCTCTCCCAGCTTATCTTGTGCCTACAGCCCTGTGGTGGGCTCCTGGTGGGTCTCCCGGCCTGGAACCTTGCCCTCATGCATGACCCCCCTTCAGCCTGAGGTTCTGCAGTGCCCCCACACTGCTGCCAGCCTGGGTGCAGGGACTTCCCCTCCCTTCTGCCCCATCCACTGCCCTCTCCCTCAGAATCTGCCAACCTTGTCCTCGCCAGGCTGCGTGCTGCCCCACCTTGTCCTCCTCCTGTCTCTGCTTAGGGTGTGGAGCTGGTGGACATTTGTCAAGTTCCCCCCATGCCAGGTACCCACCTTCACCCTATCCCTCATCCTGCCCAAAATCATGAAGACAGGCCCATTTTACACATGCAGACTCAGCAGATCAGGCAACTGGGCTGACCACACAGAGAGCCATGCAGGTGTCTGACACTAAGGGCCACCAATGTTGCCCACTGCCATGTGTTTGCACTTCCCACCTTCTCTGTCCCCCCACCCCCACAGTGCCTGTATGTGCCCCTGTCTTGGTATAGTCCTCTGGACTCCGGGCCCTCCTCTGTGTCTTGGGGCAGGGAGGCCCTGAGGACAGATCTGGGTTGGGGGAGTGAGTGTGAGAAGGAAAGAGTGAGACCAGGATGCGCCTGTGAGCGCCGGACCCGGACACCACCTGGAGCAGACTGGCCCCCTTGCCCCTCATTACCCGAGATGTAAACACACACTGGAGGAAGTTTAGAGAAGCAGCAGCCCATGGCAGGATGATTTATGGGGACCGTGGAAAGGGCGGAGCATGTGTCCACAGATGGCTACATGGCAGCAAAGCATTGTCAGCGAACCTTCACCTCTGAGAGCCAGAGGAGGGCAGGGCAGGATTGTGTCAGAGGCAAGCTGGGGCATTTCTATGCAGCATGGAGCATGTGGCAGCCTTTCTGTTTCTCCTTTTGTGCAGTTAGGGCCTTCACGGGTCTCTGGAAGTGATGCCAGCTCTTGTTCTCCAAGTCCACCGCTGACTGGGATGGGGGATCATGGCAGAAATATGGGAGCAGAGTATCAGGCCATCCAGACTGGAAAGACAATCATGAGGGCAGATGTAGGGAAGAGTGCCTCCGAGTACCAGGCATGGTCCAAAGCAAGGCAGACATGGTGATGTAACAGATGCAGAGCTTTGTGGGTGTCACCATGCAGAGACAAGGGGTACAGGATACACATACTCCAGGGGTCGTTGCTATCTGGGCCTCAGTTTCCCCTGAGGTTTGAGCAAATGGCCAAAGCCCTCAAAGAGCGGAAGAGACACAGTGCTCCTCCCCCATGGGAAGTGTCTGTGAACCTCCTGCTGGTCCTGGTGGTCAGAGTTACCATGTGATGCCTGGACCCCATCAGATTAGAGGCAGAAGATGCCCCCGTGAGAAATGGGAAGCAGAGTCAACCAATGAATGAAAGCACAGAAAAACTCAGGCAGAATGAGATTCAAATCTACCCTCCCTCCCTTTTACTTGCTTTGGGGTTTAGAGATTAAGATGATACAGTACTTGTAAAGCTCTGATCAGCTTCTGACCACCAGAAGCACTCCATAACAGCTGTGGCTCCTGTTGGTGCCTGTGACTTTCAGAGTCTCTGGTCTGAGATGTCCCACCCACCCCTCTATCCCAGCAGGAAGTTGCTCGGGGCCTTTAGAAGATCTTAGGCTTAAAGCCCTTAAGTGAGCTATTGGGTTGGTGCTGTGAACTCCCCCCGTTTGACAGGAGCATGTTGGGCACATACCGTGTTCAGTGCTGGTGAGGGACTGGAACAGGAGAAGTCTTGGGTCATAGTCAGGGACAGATGGCTCCCCAGTACGGTGCCACTGAAGAACCCCGAGCCACAATCCATAGACCATGCCTCAGCTCTCCTAGGTGGCCTTGGCAAGTCCCACCTCCTCTCTGGGCCCTAGTTTTCCATCTCAGGAAGAGACAGACCTTTCTACCTGTGGTCTGCTATGAAGTTATTAGAAAACATGCCAGACTGTCTGTCTTATGTCTGGGAAGGAATCAGTCAGAAATGATCCGGCAAGAAAGGGTAAAGGCATTCCCAGCACAGAATGATGCGGACAAAGGTGTAGAGGCTGGTGGGGCCCTAGACATGCAGAAGTCTTAGATAGGTGACCCAGTTGCTTTGGCTATCTCCCTACGTCTGACCTGCTTGGCCCAGAGAGGCTGAGGCCCAGACTGGAGCCACAGCAGGGTATCCTCTGGCCCATCACATCAAGGGCTTCAACCCCAGGCAGCAGGGCCACCCACCACCCAGGTCCTGTATACCCCAAACCCAGTCTCCCCTGTATCTCCTTGAAACTCTCCAAGGAGATTACCCAAGGCACAGCCCACCAGCCCCTCATATTGGCAAGAAAGCCATGACCCAAGATGCTTAGAACTCGGGATGGCGCTTGGAAGCCCTGTGTCAAGATCAACCCCTATTCTAGGAAGCCCCTTGGAGGGTCTTCCGGGGGTAGACAGCTGACAGCGTCTCAGGTGCCAGCTTTGCTCTTCTGTGCTTTCTTCCTTGGGCTTCCACCTAAGAGCTCACTCTGGCTTCTGCCGCTGAAAAGCATGTTGAAGTCCGTGGGTCTATTCCTGCTCCTTCATAGTATAGCCAGGGAAACTGAGGCCTGGAGGACAGCACTTGCCCAAAGTCACACAGCAAACCAGGAGCATAGTATAGGCTAGAACATAGTATAGGCTTATGCCTTCCGCCCGGGTGGAGAGCCCCTTCCTCACTTGAGGGTCCCTGTTGACTCAAAGCAGACTCAGCCCTTGGTGCCAGCCATCTGCAGAGCCTGGGAACACTCACAGTGTTTGGTTTGGCTTCAAGGCTGCTTTGCCATGAGACAATTTTCCCCAACATGAGCCCGGGAGGGGGCAGGGATCTGGACTGGGGGACTAAGCTTTGCAAGCAGAGTGGGCCAGGGAGGTGGGTTGGGACATTTGGAGGGGCCTGTCCTCTGCATCCCCCCAGTCCCACCCCATTTCCCTGGGACTCCTTCCAAGCAATAAAAACCCCACTCAGGCTCCAAAGGAGAGTTTTCTTCTTTGGATTTCAAAGTGTGAAAGAAAATGTCTTTGGGCACCTTATGAGACATAGTTTTCATGACTCCTACTTGGTCTTGCCTTCCAGTAGTGGGACCAGCCGAGGCCAGTCTGGGCCCCAGCTCTGGGTACCCCAAGGGGCTCAGCAGGCTGTTCCCCTGAAGCCAACCCTCCAAGCCTTTCAGTTGCTTAGGCTGAAATGATGGGGCAGCAGCTAGGAATAATTTTTACAGATTTATTGTGTTGTGTTGGGGTGTGGGTTTGGGGTTTTCTTTTCATTAGAAAAGAAAGGGAGGAAAGGGATTGAGGGAGTGACCCTTACCCAGAACAGGCAAGAATCCCCTCCAGGGTTAAGGCCAGAGGAAGCCTCAGTCTCCAGCCCTGGTAAGCTGCCACCCACAGGTTTTAGAGGCCTCAGCCAGAAGCACCCACGCTTCACTCGTGGGCTCCCCACCAGGGGTTTGCTCATCTGCTCAGGCAGGGACAGCACCTTGGCTCGGCTCAACCTGGGGAGATAGGCTGGCCCAGGCATATTCTCTCTCTTGCAAGAAACTTGATGTCCTTTAAGCTCAGTTTCTGCATCTGAGAGATGGGAAGAATAATAAAATGACATCAAGCAGTGTCTGCTGGCACACAGTGAGTGCCCCACACATGGAGGATATTGTTTGTGGGAGGGATACAGTTGCAAAAATGTTAATAATGATGCTAGAAATAGCCAGCCTCCTCTAATGCTCCCTACTGCCATTGTTTCAAGCACTTTATGTGTATGCAAACCGCATATGACAGATACAGACCTATGGCATAGGGGGTCAGTGAGAAATGTACAAGGTTTTAAGGGAGACTTAACTACCCCAGGTGGCAATGAGGGATGAGGGGCAGATCATAGAAGACCACCGGGCAGGGTCATGGAGTCAGGCCTTCCAAGGTGAGTGGGAAGATAGGTGTGATAGGGAGGAAAGTATGTGCCAGGAGAGCATGAAAGGGAGGGAGGCCAGGCCACAACAGGCTGGCATGGGGGAGAGGTATGACACGGTGGATTCTGTGGTGAGTAAGGGGCGCTAGGAGCCACCTGGATCACCCTTGCTGATTCCACATGCAGCCTCCTCTCCTAACTTCTCCTCTGAGACTTTCGGAAACAAGATTGTGGTGCATCCCACCTGTAGACTGCAGGTTGCAAGGACTCAGCGGACACCTATGGTCAGAACATCACCAGAGGGGAGAGGAAGAGTCGGGGCAGTGAGTGAAGACCCCTCTCTTTACTGACATACATCAGGCCAGGGTGCCCAGAACACCCAAGCCAAGACCTGAGCCGAGCCCATTTGGAGGCAGGGGTGTGCTTGCTTGACCCTGGGCTCCCCTACCCACCACCAGGCTGAGGCTGAGGTTGAGACAGAGACAGGACCGTGTGAGAGGCATTCAGCCAGAACAGCGACGAAGTTTCTGGGTGATTATTACAGGCTCTCACTGTATGATCCCAGCTGTTAGGATCTCATGGCCCAGCCCGAGGACATGCGGCCTGGTGACCTGGGCATGAGCAGCCTGTCAGGGCCGGCTCAAGCAATGGGAGGCAGGGAAGTGCCCCAACTTCAGACCCCATGGAGACTACCCTGCCCTGTTTCCACCAGCCTATCCCATGCATCTGCTAGTGGGCACCTAGGTATGCCCAGTCTAGATCCTGGCTGTGCTGTGGGTCCTGGAGCAAGTTACTTAACCTCTCAGTACCTTGGTTTCCTCATAAGCACAATGGGGATAGCAGTCGTCCCTGCCTCCTAGTGTTATCATGAGGAGGAAAGGTCAAGATCTGGGAGGTGCTTTGCACAGAGCCTGGCATAGGGGCAGGGATCTCCAAGTACTTCTTTCACCTGCTGGGAGTGCCTCCCCGTGTGGGCTAGACTCATTCTGCCTTCTCGATCGGCTTCAGCATCCTCTCTTCCAGGAAACCTTCCTAGTCCCACATTGGACTGGGGTCCCCTGTGTGCTGGCTGGCCCCTGGCCCACGCCTCTGGTGTGATGGAGCTTGTGGGTCCCTGCATCTCATCTTCATCTGTCTCCTAGCTGCCCTGGATCCCTGAGGGCAGTCTCGGCTGCTACTTCTGGGCCCAGCTTTTTTCTGTATCCCAGAACCTGTCTCTCTCATCCACAGGCCTCCTGGCTAACTCCTGCCCTTGTGACTTCTCTGTTAAGCCTCTGTCATTGTCCACTCTCCTCCTCAGTCCCTGTCTTGCCTTCGGTCTCTCTCCTTGCTCGTCCATTTGCCGTTGCTCATTGTTGCTTTCCTGGGCTTGAGCCAGTAACCTGGTCCTGCATCCTGTCTTGCCCCATCCCTCTCTCCAGCTTCCCAAGGCCACCACATGCTGGGCTCAGGTCAGCCTGCCAATTCACACCCATGTGTAATCTCTTTTTATTTCTTTCTGTCTCACTCTATTTGTCACAAAGGTTTTCTTGAGCCAAAATTCTCACCTGTTACCTCCCAAACTAGATGCTGTTTCTCTGCATTTATGAAGGACTGCACTTTTCACTCAACACATCCTTCCCATTGGACGCACAACACTGCTTCCCTCTGTGAGCCCACCACTAGGTAGCCTCTCTGGCTACCACATAGCCTCTCTGAACCTCGGTTTTCTCAGTGATGGAAAGGGAATGATGAGAGCCATTCGGAAGATTTGGTGTGAGGACCAGAAGTATCATTTATGAAGTGCCGGATTCATAAAGGCTGCTTGAGAGAAGCAGTTTTCATGTGAGAGTGTGGAGTTGCCTGTCTTGCTTTCTGTGTGATTCTGTTGTCTGCCTGGGAAGAGTGCAGGGAGCCGGGCTCCCGTATGGGTCAGTGAATCTACCTCTTCCTTAACATGAATTCTTTCTGCCTAGGACCCGTTCTCTTGAGTGGTCACTCTTGAGGCCCTCGGCCCCCAGGGCCTGGTCTGGCCCAGCCCCTGGAGCCAGGCACAGGAGGGTCAGTATGGCCTCCAGAGCTTACCTGGGCTGGCTCTGTGGCTCTTGGCTGCTTACTTTCCCTGCCCAAGCCCCTGGTTTCCTTCTCCATTTAGAGAAAAGGAGATAAAATCGGATCTGAGCCCTAAGGCTTCTGCCCTGAAGTGACCGATGGTCACTCTGCCCTGTGTTTCCTCCTTTCCAGCACCACCGCCTCACCACCACCCCTGCCCCTCCAGCCCACCCACAGCTCCGGGACTGCCAAGCCCCCCTTCCAGCTCTCGGACCAGCTGCAACAGCAAGACCCACCAGGGTCCACCAGCGGCTCAGCACCTGGCCGCACACACCCCACCCTGGGCCTCCTGCCTGTCGCTGCCACCATCGCTGCCCCCTTCCTGCTGCACAACCTTGGGCCCTCCTGACCTTGGCCACCTCCTGCAGAGAAGCCAGAGAAACCACCCGAAGGTCTGCGGCCACACCCCGCCACTCCTGCCACCACCACCACCTCCAGGGGTACCCAACACATGCAGGGCAGTCCAGACGAGACGGGCTAGAACACTAGAGCTTGATTGTACCGAAGTTACATCTTCTTTTTTGTAGAAGGATCTTAATTTCCCATAGTGCTATGGGGCTCTTTTGTAAAATATGTGTCCATATTAAAAAAGAAAAGTGTATTTATTCTACCGATAAAACTATTTTTATGTGGCCTATGTTATAACCCCTTAATTTGCCCCAGGGCCAACCCAGGAGGGGACTCCAGGTAACCAAGACATCTGTGACCTCCTGTGGACTGTGGCTCTGAACTGGCTTGCTCCTGGATCGCCGAAGCTTCCTGGGTCTGGGTTTGGCTTCTCCCACTGTGGGGACCTCAGAGGGAGGGGCAGACAGACAGGCTTGGCTTTTGTGAAGCTGGATTTGGGAACCAGACGTGTGAATGCTGACTGTCCTCCCCTCCAGCCCTGGATGCATCCCAGGGCTGGGGAAGGCATGTCAGGAAAGAGAATGCTGCTATTTTGAAAACCCTGAGTGTCTGTGAACTGGCCTTCCATAGCTCTTGGTAAGTGTTTCGACCAAAGCGCTGGGGTGGGTTGGGGGTGGGATGTTGTGGTCCCCAGCCCCCAGTAATGGATCCAAAGAGAGCAAGGTGGGCTGCCCAAGGTCACGCAGCATGTGAGCAAGGACATGAGTCCAGACCTCTCTGTTCTGGTATAGTTAATACAGGAGAGGCTATTGAAATCATGGCTAAATGGACTGAGCTGGGCCAAGGGATGGGAGTGGGCTCAGAAAGGCAGTTTTAGAGATAGGGCTCCCAGAGAGTCATGTGTGATAATCATGGTGATGAGAACTGCATTTGTCCAAAGCCCGCAGCGAGTAAGAGGCAGGCACTTTGCACGGTCACTTAATCACTGGTTCTCATTCCACTTCTGTGAGATGTGACTGTCCTCATTTCACAGATGAGGAAACTGAGCCTCCCAAAGAGGTGACGGGGCTTTGCTCAAGATCCCCCAGTCAGGCTGTAGCCCCAGATCAGCATGCTACAAAAGCAACCCTTGCCTCCTGGTCCGTGTTCTCTGCCAGGGAAGCTCCCAGGGAGGCAGCTTGCTCAAGTTGGGCCCGGCACAAGCATCTCACCCCCGCCAGACCCTTTAACCAATTGCTCATGTTGGTCCCTCTGGCCAGAGGGCTCTGGCAACAACATGTGCCACGTGTCTCATGCCCCTACTTGTCAAATCTTGGAACCCATGAGAGGCCTTCCTGCCAAATCAGAGGCTGGGAGTTGGGCACAGCTGTGGGGTACCTGGGGAGGCAGGCAATGGAAACTTCAAGAGACTTATCCAGCCCCTCTGCTCCCCACAATGGTGATTGGGGAGACAGAAGACTCAGGTGGGCTGACTCCCAGGCCTGAACTCCAGCTGTTCTGGTGTCTCACTAAGTACAGAGTCCTGGAACCTGGGTGCAGAAAGGGCCTTTCACTTGATGAGTCATAATAACAGTAGGAGTAATGAAAAAGCCAGAGAGGGGAGACGCTTCTCCAAAGCTGCCCAGCAGGGCAGTTCCACTAACTCCCAGCCTCACTGCTCCATGGGTTTCCCTGGCGGGCTTGCTGATGACTGATTGGCCCCAGTGCCATCGTGCCCAGCTTGGCAGCTGTCTCCCTTCTGAAATGGTACAACTCTGGGCAGCTCATGGGACAGTCAGAAGTCCCACGGGCATCTTGGCAGGCAGTTGAATTCTTTCCAGCTCAGCCCCGATGGACATGCTTGAGCTTGAGACCTGGCAGGAGCCTGGAGCTCTGCCTCAGCGGGTCCAGCCAGCCTCATGGGCACCACGCTATAAACTGAACTTGACCTTGGCCAGGGACTGGAGTTGGTTTATCCTTGGCAAAAATACGACTTCCTATTTCTGAGCGGGAAGGGGCTTAGCTGACTTATAAAGCAGGCTCAGAAGTTGGACATCAAACGGATCGTGCAGAGAGCTATTTGGATGAGATAAGTGTAAAGGAATTAGAAGCACACGGGCCAGATTCCCCTCTGTTTGGGGTAGAGTATGGCATGCGACGTATTGAGATGGAGGTTGAGGTTAATTAAAGATGAAGCATTTGGGTAAACAGTCCAGGCACCTGACCGTGTGCCCAGATCTGTGCCAGGCATGGAGCCAAGAAGGTAAATTAATGCAGTGTGTAATTACTGAGCGCAGGCAATGCCAGGCTCTGTATTGGAGTTGAATCTAACCACCTTCCTTGGCCTAGAGGAACTCGTCATCAAGATGGGACAAGCAGCCCTGTCCTAGGTTTTCCTGTCCTGACCCCTGACTTCAGGCAGATTCAGTCTTAGTCTTAACGAGATGCCTTTTCAGGGCAGATTGGGGGATCCCAAACGTTCTCTTAACTGAACCTTCAGATTAGAGAAAGATCAGTTTAGAGAAAGATGGCTAGGCCAGCTGATTGGGTGAACAGGTGCTGACAGGCGAGCCAGAGCCCCTGTGGTCAGATCTGAAGCCAAAGTTCACTGGTCTCTGGGGACCACCAGCTGGTTAGGTTTTGAAATGAACTCAACTTGCTGACTTGTGTCCCAGAAGACCTGAGGCACACAGATAGGAGTCTGCATGACTGGGGCTCATAAATTTGCTCATCTTAGGCCAGAGAACTGCCATTCCATATGCAGCCACTTATGGAACAAGCTATCCACCATCTACAGACATTTCTTCCAGAAATGTACTATATGCCTAGCTTCATAAAATGCCTCGGTTCCTCTGAGAGCTTTCCGTACATTTCTTAGGACTTTCATGTTTGACCTTAAGGCAGGCAGGAAAGACAGAAGGCCCAAGACCCAATGAGTCAAGTGACCCGCCTAAGGTTGGGCAGCATGTTGGTGTGGCCCTAGGTCCCCCTCTCTCAGGAAAGCTGGCTGTGTGATCAGGGAATCTCTGAGGCAGGACAGAAGATCATGCCTCTGGTCTTCCTCCATGGCTGATCCAATGCACCAACAGCCAGGCAAAGGCAGGGAAGACCCCATCACCCACAGTGCAGGTGTGAGGGTTAGGCTTCCAGGGAGCTGCAGTGGGTCACTGAGGCCCCTCTAACCCTGAGAGGCAAAGGTCTGGAGTCCACAAACCATAGAACCTTGTGCCAACTATGAGCAAATTTCCCCATGCACCAAAAGACCCTGAATGTATTTTCTTCATTCTAACTGTCATCTACGACCTCCTGGCCTCAGCTAGACTTGGGAAAGCCTAGGGGTTTAGACCACTTGTTCCACCTGCCCGGTCTCCAGCCCAATGCCATTGTCACAATGGATCCCACAGAGGGGGAAAAGTCCTTCTGCCAAAAGGAAAGTCTAGTTAACACACCGTGAAGGACTAGAGAAGTTCTGCTCAGGAATTGCAGCTTTGATGGTATCCTGTGTAGCAGAGAAAAGAACTGGGTCAAGTGATGGTTTTTCAGTGACCATAGGATAAGAACCACAGCCTGACATTTAGACAATCCATGACCTAGCCCTGCTGACTCAATCAGCCACATCTTTCATTCTCCCACCCTCTGTCTGACCAGGCTGAATCTCAGTCATTTCTAAAAAAGACACAATATTGCACATATATACCTCCTCCTGAAAGCCCCCTCTGATTTCTTTGTGCTTTCTTGGCATCAATCACGATACCCACTTCCCAGTGCTGTGACTGTCTACTTCTATATCTGCTCCCCCACTGGACTGTGAACCATTTGATGGCAAAGTCATGTGAACTCACCCTTGTATCCTCATCTGACCCAAAGGTGGTGCTCTGTAGATGTGAAAGAGGGGAGGAAGGAAGCCAAAAGAGAGAGAGGAAGAAAGGAATGAAGGCAGAAAAGGAGAGAGGCAAACCTTAGCTCTGCCAGTGGAATATTTCTACCAAGCCAAAGCTGTCCACAGATAGACTGGTGCCCCTGAAGGTGGTGAGTTTCCTGTCAGGAGAGGAGTTCGAGTAGGAGCAATGTGCCCGCTGGCTGGGGAAGTGGCAGGAGAGGGAAAGCCTTGGCAAGGGACCGGTGTAGGTGATATCAGGGGTCCCTCCTGGCTCTGTGATGCTCAGTTTCTTTGAACATTGTTATTTTTCTAAAAATTCATCTAAGCAGCCAAAAAAAATCACCCCGGCTGGCTGTCTAAACCAGTAAGGCTCAGGAATCAGTCCAGCCTCCTCCTCCACCCACAGCCACTGCCCCTCTCATGTTCGCCCTTCTTCAGCAATCCTGGCAGGCTTGCCTGCTGCTCCTGGGCAGGGGGCCTTCTGGGAGGTGAGAGAGGGCTGGACTGGAACGCAAGCCCCAGGTCCCAGCCCAGAGCTCCTTTCCTTTCTCCCAGCCCTCTCAACCGTGGGGAGGGAAGAAAGCGCTCTCGAGAACTGATGGAGCCCCTCCCTGATCCTTTCCAGGGGTCTTCAGCTCACCCCATCCTTTCTTCAAATGGGAGTGAGTGCTTCCTCTCTGGAGACATTCTGGGTACTCCTTCACTTTGCTAGGTGACCTTGGGCAAGCCCCTGTCTCCTCTGAGCCTTCATTTCCTCATTTATCACATGTCCTGCCTGGGCTAGGGTGAGGAGTGTTGGGGATGATGTGTACAATCTTGGTGCTCCACACGGGTGAGGTGCAACCCCGTCCCAGGCTCAGTGTTTGGCTGCCCTCCCACGGCACACAGCCTGCATGGGATTGGAAGCATGTGGCAGGCAGGAAAGGTGACAGAGTTGCATGCCTTGAAGGGCCCCTCCACCCTGAGTCCTGCTGTGAGGAAAGTGGGCTTTGAACGGGATCCAAGTCTCAGATGTTTCCAGTGAGCTGCCAGAGACAAAGGGCTCTCAGACTTCGTGGGTTCCTGGGGGCTGGGGAGGGTAGCGGGGCTGATGCCTGGCCAAAGGAGGCTCTCACCCAGAGCAGGGAAAGCCAGAGCCTGCTCCATCCCTGAGCCTTACAGAGCTCACCATCGTCCCGACTTGACTCACTGTGACATGAGCTTCATATGTCAATGTATTTGAAAGGTACTCATGATGTGTTCTGTAGCCACCTATGCCCTCACCTCTGTGAATTATCATGAAGAGTTCTTTAAGAATATAATGGAAGACAAAGAAAGATGCTATTAATGTTATTTTGCCAAAAATATTTTTGTAGCATAATATATTAATAAAAGACATTGTGAATTCAGTGGCTTGCTATTTCTGTGTGAGA